CCGCGGCCGCCCCAGCCCGGGGGAGAAACCCGAGGGCCCGGGCGTCCCCGCCGACCCCCGGGCCGCGCTCGCGTGCAGGCCGGCGCGATCGCTTCGGCCGTCGGACCCCCGCTCTCCTTACCGTGACCCGGGAGGCTCGGGCTGACCGAAAACGCGTCCTCCAAATTCCTTTCCGGCCAAAGTCTGGCCGATGGGTTTGGGCGGAGGGGCCGAGACTCAGCTCCTGCTTTGCAGTGCACTGAGTGTATGATCCTTGACAGGCGGCTTCGAGAAAGGGAGGCTAGTAACACCTGTGTCCCAGCCCTGCTGTGAGGACGGACTTAGACGCCAGTGTGAAGCTGGTTGGTTGTCTGCCGTGACACGCCTCTGAGCATCCTGTTCATTCTTGTGACAACAGTGACATGGCCCGATCCAGGGTGCTCATGAGCCCAGGAGAGCTGGCTGCTGAGAGGACTCCACGCCCTGCCAGGTCCCGGCCCGGCTCCTACGCAGGACAATGCAGCTGTGCGATCCCCTGCCGCCTCTGGGATGCACCAGGGACAGGGACCCACGGTTTTTAATTCAGCTGTCGAACGCTCTTCAGTCTTGCTCTAAAACACAGGAGCTCAGGCCTTGACCATCAGTGTGACCTTGGGGAGTCTTGGAGCCCAGTTGTGTATCAGTTTCTTCCTTTGCCCAATAGATTTAGTAAGAACTATACTGCCTTCCCAGGCCTAAATCCGGTATAGTGTGGGGGCTGAACTTACCCCCTACTGTCTTCTCTGAATCAGGGATGAGGTCAGCAGAAATGACGTCTAAATCATCACTACCAGATGCCAGTTTTTTAGAGGGGAAACAATGAGGATGAAGGGGATTGACATGAGAAATGATTTGACAAAAATTCTAGGAAATGTCACCCAACAACATGTTTTAATCAAAAGAGACGTGTGGAATCTTAAAAACAAACAAGTACCACACAATTCTGAATAGTTTAATAGAAAACTCTCAGTAGAAAAAAACAAACAAAAAAGCTAAATGAGGACAATCTCAACTTAATACAAAGTGTTCCCTGGTTAGTGGAAGAAGTAGGGGAGTACTCTGGATGGACACCTGGCAACTCCCTGTGCCCTGTGTGAATGCTGGCTTCCATCTGGGAGAACGCAGAGCCCCAGGGTCGGCGGCAGCACTAGCGAAACTCAATCTGCCTTTCCCAGTTCACAGTCTATCGGTGTCTCTTTAATAATGATTTGCCCTGGCACCCAAAAAGCGAGCCAAAAGAGAAAATTGAATAATAACCTATGGGAAACATACTACATTAGCTCTGTCTCGGCTGGGTTGATTTTGCTGAGAGGGCTTTGGAAGAGAGGAATAATGGATGCTGTGTTGGGGTAGGAGGAGAGGGAATAAAATAGCCAATTTCAGTACCAAGCTTTGTTACAGCAAAACCCAGGGAACAACTTACATTTCACTTCCTTGGTGCTCAATTACAAGTACTCCAAAGGGAAAACCATCAAGAATTAAAAAAAAAAGGAATACGGGACATCCCCCTGATAGCGTGTGTGGGGGGAATTTGAATAAAAGAAGTTGTAGCCTAACAGCATTCTACCAAAATACTGCCTACAGGGGGCCCCCACTAGGATAGAATTCATCTCAGAAACCCTCTCACTGAATCACACGTATGCAAGAATTTTCTTCTTTCATATATTTTTCACTTGCACAAGTACATTTATTTAGTTTGGGAAAGTAATGTGGTATATTGGATTGGTAGTCAGGAAGCCAAAATCCTGAGTCTATCTAAGTAGCTAAATGATCATTAATGCCTCAGTTCCTCACTTGCAAAATAGTAAAATGAAACCTATTCCTTCTGATACAATTATTGTGTGTAAAGATGTCATTCACGTATTTCTTTATTCAAAATTATTCACTGAAAGTCTCATACATGTTCTAGGTACCAAGGAAGACAAATTCTCTTTCTTTATTGTTTGACATCTAGTGGGGGAAATGTTCACCATAAATAAGCAAACAAATAAAAAAGCAAAGTGATATCAATTTGCGAAACCGTGAGGAATATAAAATGAGATGATGTAATAGAGTGATAGAGCACATTTTATGTTTGATCATGGAGATTGTAGTTAATCTGAATTTCCTGAATTGTTTGTATTATCAATGATTATATTACTCTTTAGTATATCAACTTAAATGTAATTTCCAAGGTCTTTCATTACACTCTAAAAATTTAGACTGATATTAAATTATTGCCTGGATAATTTGTAAGGAAGGTAGAACACAAAAACATTGATCACCAAGCATGGTATGCATGCACACACGCACATGCCCTCCTTTGCCTCCTACTTTTATATGTTTGAGAGTGGATAAACCCTTGGGGTATATTAATGTATACGTTCAATTTTGCCACTTTAAGAAATGCAAATGGGATGTGTGTGGCCATAACAGGTTTTACAGTGCTTGCTTGGCTGGTCTGCTAAATGTTTGTATCTTTCAAATCATGCTCAGTTACTTGCCTACAGTTACTTGAGGAAATAGAAGGTAGTTACATTGCTTAAAAGATGTAATTTATGTGCTAAGAGAGTAGATCTTAATGTTCTCCCCACAAAAAAGGAAGAGGTAACCATGGGATGGGATGGAGGTGGTAGCTAATACCATGGTAATAATCATTTTGCTATTTATAAATGTATCATATTAACATGTTGTATACCTTAGACTCATACAATATTAAGGGTCAATAATATGTCGATAAAGCAGGAAAAAAGAGAAATGGGTAGGACCCCATTTTATTCAATATGATGAAGACTAAAAAAATCTTTTTTAAAATACACAAAATAAGATATGAACAAATGTATGAACATTCCATTCTTCATAAAGAAAAATCTAGTCTGTAACAATGCCAGTTCTCTTCAAATAAATGTATAAATCTAAAAAACATTGTAACTTTTATGGGCCATTGAGACTATCTTAAGAATTGAAGGAGTAAAGAAATGTAAGCATAGAATAAGATTATGAGTGCAAATTTGTTATCAAGGGAAAAAGAGCCATTTCATCTTGAAGTAAAAAACTGTGCCAGGGGGTGGGTGGATCAGTCGTTAAGCGTCTGCCTTTGACTCAGGTCATGATACCAGGGTCCTGGGATAGAGCCCCGCATCAGGCTCCCTGCTCAGAGGGAAGCCTGCTTCTCCCTCTCCCACTCCCCCTGCTTGTGTTCCTGCTCTCACTGTCTCTCTCTCTCTATCAAATAAATAAATAAAATCTTAAAAAAAAAAAAAAACAACTGTGCCAGAATGTGAAAGATTAGCAAGAGACAAATTTGAGTGGGTAAGTTGTAGAAGTTTGATGACAAGAAAACTTTGTTTCGTTGGTTTGTAATGCCTGCAAATAATGAGTCTAGAAGGAAACAATGAAATATGTTAAAATTTTGACAAAATTGGCTCTGTTTTGTTTGTTTTTTTTTTTAAAGATTTTATGTCTTTATTTGACAGAGAGAGACACAGC